AAGCTTTAATAAGTTGTATTTATGCATAACTTACTTGTAATCTTGAATTTTAAGTAATATGAATCAATATACAGTAATTCATGCATTAAAAATGGTTTTTAAGAGTTTTTGTCAAATACTTTATAATATAGTATAGATAGTATGTAATCTATGAATAGTGTGAATTAATAAAGTCAAATTTACAAGAATCGTAATGATATATTCCAAAATATACCAGAGGTTATGTGACGTCGGCCTTCCATTCTTGGCATGGAGGATGAGGCTTATTATTCCCTAAGGTCTATGACCTGGCTAACAAAGGTATCGACGTGCCGTGCATAATTTTTGTTTCGAAACTCTGGTTCAGGCCCATAATATGCCAATCCGAAACTTGAAATGAGGAGCATGTCCTGGGTAGGCCTCGAGATTTTTAAGGCTTCAAAACGTCATTTGAACAGGGATCTGGACACTTTTCTGTTCTTTTTTATTATATTGTAGAATCAACGGGGTCAATCTTTGTTTACTTATTGCACGCAGCATCATTGTGAAAGTTTGATTTAAAAACGTCACTATCTTGACGGATAATATACGTAAGTAGGGGTGCTCATGGGTTGGGTTGATCGGGTTGAAGACATTTGAACAACCCAACCCAATGCTTGTGGTTTGGAAAAATCTTAACCTAACTCAACCCAAACCAAAGTGCAACCCAACCCAACCCGTACGGGTTGGTCGGGTTAGTCGGGTTGGTACTTTGGTATATTAAAATATTCTTCTAACCTTGAATATGTAATTTCTCTACTCATAATTTTTTTTTCCATCATCAACCATTTGATACAACTTATCCATATTTCTTACGTATATCACATTCAGTTAATTTTCTCAATTTACATATATATGTTCACAGTTACTGAACATATATATGAATGAGTTATATAGAGATATGAATAGATTGAAAATATATGTATATGAAAAGCATACATGATAGTGTAATTGTCTAAATGTATATATTAATAAAAATTCAACAATCATATTAAATCCAAGAAATAAAATGATATCGGGTTCATCGGGTTGGGTTCGGTTCGATTCAAATAATAGTAACCAAATACCTACGGTTTGAAAATTTTACAACTCAATTAGATATCGGGTTGTTTCGGATTGGGTTATTTCACGTTGGGTTGGATTAATCGGGTTGGTCGAGTTTTCGAGCACGTAAGGATACCTACTTTTCAGCAATATTTGATACATATTTTTCACGGTTTTATGTAAATATAGGTGACAGAACGTCAAAACGACAACAATGCAACGATGTCGTGTAAAGAGCATTTAACGAAAAGTAGATGTTAAAGGTGATACTTTTTCAAATAAATTATCTTTTTATTTATTAATTAAAGGTGATACATTTAACAATGGATTCTATTAATCTGACCTAACTTCAAATATTTTTTTATAAAAATTATCTTTTTAATAACATATATTATCTATAAATAATTATTTCAAATTATAAAACATAATAATAATTCAAAGCATTTTATTATACATTAAAAATGTAATAATCGTTTGTACGTAAAAATATGTTACTATTAGAGATTACTAGAAGCGTACTCGCACAATACAGCGAGATACAAATTAATTTTAATATTTTTTTTTTGTGTCAGTCGATGTTATAATACGGTTTTATGTGGTTTTGAGAAAACGATAATGGTTTTATTTTCGAATAAAATATAAATATGAAGATATATCATAAAAAATTGAAAAAAAAATATTGATATTGATATCAAACTAACTATTTAAGATTTCTCTTTTTTCTGTGTATTTATTTAATTCATTTTTATAAATTTTGGTTTAATAATATAATTTTTTATAAAAATAATAATTAAGTATTTTGCTAAAACTCAATGATTATCYTAATTATATTTTAGATTTTTTATATTTAAAATGAGATGTTTATGAATTTATTTATGTTTATCTGCAGTTAGTTACACAAATTCAAACACGAAGCTTTAATAAGTTGTACTTACGCACAATTTACCTATAATCAATAAATTTTAAGTAATATGCATCAATAAACAGTAATTTATTTATAAAAATTATGAATTTTGGTGTATTTTATTTTACATTACAAATAAATAAAATTTATTAAAAAAAAGATTAAATCGACTAATGAGTGTTTTTTTATTTCTATTGTCTATTTTCGATGTATTTATTACTGGCTTTAAAAAAAATGGTTCGACCATGAACTCTTTGAACCAATAACGAACCGTCAATCTGGTCCGAGTATATCATTATTCGTTCCGACACTCCAGATCCGCTCAAAATGCCCACCACTAAAACATGGAGGAATCACGCGGTGCGAAATACAGATATAGTAATGTTGATGATCTGATTTTATAATTTTAGTATTCTGGTTTTACTATGATCATTGAAATATGATATGTTGTATCGTACTCTGCTTTATAACAGAAAGTTTGTTTTTGAATCAGTTTTCATTAAAATTCTGGTATAAATGTTCACATTTTAACATTTTTAGAAAACCAGTAATGTGACACACCTGTAGGTTCCAGTTCGAGGGTGTTATATCAGGAATGAGTTCATGAGGCAGTCGACTGATTTTATAACGAAATGGGTAATTATCTATCTTCTGTTAACTTTTATCCATATCCTACCCTACCCATTGAATTAGAGGTATAGATAAATGGTAAAGCAAAATTTCACTTTCAGTTACAAATAATATTGTTAAACCTTAAACATGTAAATATACACAACTTCATAAATATAATAATTATTTTATATCTAATTAATTTGTTTAGTAAGTATTTTAATATTACTCTAAATATAATCTATATCTATATTTATATCTATAGGGTTGGGTTCACGTGAGACTAGTATGTTTTCGTGAGACAACATTTTTACACTCCAAACTTCACAACAAAATGTTGTGAATGTAAAAAAAATCCGAACCTTCACAGCAAAAACACTGTGAAGGTTACTTTCACAGTGTTTTGCTATGAAGTTTCAAGGGTAAAAATGTTGTCTCACGAAAACAGTTTTGTCTCACATGATATGTCTACATCTATATCTATCTGTCTATATATCATAATAACATAAAAGAAAATTCTTTGAAAGAGACGTGACATCCCCAAATCATAATATTGCCTCCCTACTTATTTCTCAATTTATGCTTTTTTTTTCTTTTCTTTTTTTGGAACCATATTCTTAATTTATTTATTACCTATTAATTGTTTTAATTTATTTATTACCTATTAATTGTCTTAATTTATTAATTACCCAATAATTATCTTATTTTTTCGGGAAAAGTCCACAAAAAACCCAATAGACTTTAATGTTTGGAATGATTAAGTACTTGGACAATTTTTTGAAACAAATAAGTTATTGTACATTTTGAAACTTGTTAAACAACTCTTTGGACTTTCTAAAACCTATTAGATACATTCTTATGACCTATAAAACTAATTAACGTACTAAATAATGTAAAAAGCATGAAAAAAACCAATGAACATTCATATTTTGAACGATAAAGTCCCTAAACATTTTTTCAACCAAAAAAGTACTTACATTATATAAAATAAAACAAATATACCAAAAAAATACTTACATTTAAAAAAAAATTATTGATGATTTTTATTTTAATTAAAAGTAAAAGATATTACGTCGGTGATTTTCTAAATTAAAAATAAAATAAAAAAAGATTTAAAAAGAATTATTGATTATATTTATTTTAATTAAAAATAAAATATATCGTGTATGTAATTTTTTTAAAATAAAAAAAGATTTAAAAAGAATTATTGATTAAATTTATTTCAATGATTTTTTTTAAAATAAATATATTTTTAATTAAAATAAATTTAATGAGTAATTCTTTTTAAATTTTTTTTTATTTTTTTAGTTTGAAAAATCACTGACAAAATATATTTTAGTTTTAATTAAAATAAATTTTATCAAAAATCTTTTTTAAATGTAATTTTTTTTTTGGTAAATGTAAGTACTTTTTGTTGTATTTGTTTAGTTTTATAGATCTAAATACTTTTTGATTTAAAAAATGCTTAGAGACTTAAACGTTCAAAATATGAATGTTCATTGGGTTTTTTTTCCGGACTTTTTCCATTATTTTACCATATTAACCAGTTGTATAGATCATAAGAATGTATCTAACATGTTTTAAAAAGTCCAAAAAGTTATTTAACATGTTTTGGAATGTCGAATGACTTATTTGTTCCAAAAAATTGTCCAATGACTTAATCATTCCAAACACTAAAGTTCATTGGATTTTTTTAGACTTTTCCCTATTTTTTTCTCCATAAACCAATTGTCTTAATTTATTAATTGCCCATTAATTATATTAATTTATTAATTAAGACAAGACATATCGTTAACCTAATACAATTATCTTCCTTACCACCATCTTTTCTTCTTCGAACACATGATTTAACTCTGTCTGTAACATGATTCCCTGCCAAGATCCGTGTGCGAAATCATAT